AAAAAACCATACCTGACGATTGGGCACCGAGATTTGATTTTGGCCTTCTTGAGGTGGTAAATCCTCCAGTAAATTGGCCGAATCAATAAGATGCGCCTTTGGCGGCAACTTGTGGCAGCACTGGCTGGGTTTTCCACCCGGAATCTCAAAAAAATACCAGTAGTGAAATTTTGTTGGAGGTTAAATACGCCCCAATTTCTAAACAAATGCACTTGCACTTACTTTAAGCTTTATTCGCTGGCTAGCTTTTATAGCTGGCAGCCACACTGAGTGCTAAACACCACTTAGAATACTGGATGCCACTCAAAAATACTGGATGCCACTCAAAAATATATATTTCGGGCTTTTAGCCTTTTAATTAAAAAAATTAAATTTCGAGCTGTTGGCACGTCCGTTTCTCTTGCTGGTTAAAATAAGAAGAACTTAACCGGAATCGGCTGGATACCAGCGAGGCTTTAGGCGGAAATATATATCAAATGACGACCGACACAGGTGGCCACACTAGAACTTTCCAAGACCACCCTGGCTCAGCTGTTCAAAACTATCGAAATATCGAATAGCCTGCACATGTGGCCACACTAGAACTTTCCAAGACCACCCTGGCTCAGCTGTTCAAAACTATCGAAATATCGAATAGCCGACACAGGTGGCCACACTAAATCAAGCTTTGGTTTAAGCGGACCCTGTATAGTAGGCTTTCAGGCTGAACCTAGGTTCGCCAGTCGCTACAGGCGCCGTTACAATAAATGGAAATAATTTAGCATTTTTAATGAGAATGGATTCTGGAAGAGAGATCGATGCGAAACTAAGAACGATTCTTCTCGAAATCGAGATCGATGCGATGTTGAAACCAAGAACGGTTCTTCTCGAAATCGAGATCGATGCGATGTTGAAACCGAGAACGGTTCTTCTCGAAATCGAGATCGATTCGATGTGAAAACCGAGAACGATTCATACCAAAATCAAGATCAATCATTCTCAAAAGCCAGTTCGCAAACCGAGAAGACTTCGATGACGATTTTAGGATTTTTAGTATAAGTCGATCTTGGCTCACTTTTGAGATCGAAAATACTGAAATCAAAAACGCTGTGAACGGATTTTTTTCTGAGTGTATAGACTAGGTGTGTTATTGAAAAAATCAGATTTGCTTCCATCCCTCTCACACTTCCTTTAGCTGAGTAACGGGTATCTAATAGTCGAAGCCATCGACTATAGCGTTTTGTCTTGCCTTGTTCGATATTATTTAAATACCATAAGAAGGATCGCAAGGGCAAGCCGACGTTAACTTCCATTCTTTTTTGAGTGTACATTTTATTATATGGCCGTTCTTTTACAAACCGAACGGATTTTGCAAAAATTTCAAATTTTTGATTTGCCTGAAATTTTTTTTACGTATACTTTTCGAAAAACAAGTAAACTCGTATATCAGGATTAGGCCGAAAATAAATTATTTTTTTAGTTAAAATTTTTTAAAGTTTGTAAAAAAAAGCTAGTTTTCAAAAAGTATCCTCTGCAAGTCTATATCTCCATCTGTAGTTATCCGATTGATTTCATGTCTTTTGCATAAAATCCTCTGAAACCTCTACTTTTTAAATACATTTTTTCAAACACACAAAATTTTTAATTTTTTAAAAATAAAAACCAATTTTAATTAAAAAAAATTTTTTTACCATTGCCCCCACAAAAAAAAATATTTTTTTTTAATTTTAAAATATGCCCCCATTTGTCACCTACAATCGAATTTTTTATAGGTTGGAGCCATATTTTGTTTTCAAGATATCGAATTTAATGTAATAAACCCTCTGATATTTTCTGCAGCCATCTCGCTCGCATTGTTTTATCCAAAAAAAATTTGCCATGCCCACTCTAACGCCCATAACGCTTAAATCTGTCTACCGCCGGTAGGTGGCGCACTTCAATCTCGCTTTGCTGCTTGCATATCTCCATTTCCCTTTGGTCCCATTAGCTGAGTATCGGGTATCTTATAGTCGAGGTACTCGACTATAGTGTTCGTCCCTGTTTCTTAATATATTTACTACATTTGTTATGTAATTATTTTAACACAACTCGATTTTTCTTGTAATGTATTAAGCAGTGAAAGGATAAAGTGCCTTTAACAGTCATCGTTTTTTGGATCCTGACACACGTGTTTACTTATTTACCGAATAATACATGTAAAAAAGTTGTAGGAATGCTTGTTCGAGCTGTTATTAGGAATCCCCAAATATAGGCAGCAAGAACAACCCATCAGAACAAGCAAGCGAAACAGTGCTGCCCATCAAGTATGTTGCTATCGGCAAGGGCAGAAACTCAGAGCAAATTGCCATTCCTGGGTTTGATTTTTGAGAATAGAAAAAAAGGAAGAGCAGCTGATTGGTTCCATCTTTGGCGACTCAATACATCTGGTTGGGGGTAACATACCTTGGCCACGAGATCGGCTAATTCTTTTCGATTTTGATCGCCAAGGAGGACAGTCCAGCAGCTCAAAAGGTTTCAGGGCCTTGAAAAGAAAAAAAAAGTATTTTTCTTTCCTTAAAGGAAAGCCTTCACGTGCAGACCAACGGAATTAAAAAAAAAAAACGAAAACGAAATTAAATATTTATTATTTCTTGCGGCCAAGTTAGCTTGGCACGCAGCCGCAAAATCATCGCCTTCAATTGGCAAAACAACACAAAAGGAAAGATACTTCCCCATCCAGGCACAAGTCAATTCGCCGGAGATAGACAATTTCCAGCACTCAGCACTCCGTTTTCCAAGTTGGAAACTTTTCCCTAGCCAGGGAATTCGCCCCGCTTCCCAGAGCGAGTTGCTTCCCGCCTCTCTTCTGGATTTCAGTCGGGAAAGCGCAAAGCCCTTTGCGCCGACTACGCTGTTTAATCGTAATAGAATTCGCTCAGCTTCCCAGAGTGACCTGCTTCCCGCCTCTCTCTTGGATTTCAGCCGGGAAAGCCTAAAGCCCTTTGCGCCGACTACGCTGTTCAAGCGTAATACAATTCGCTCAGCTTCCCAGAGCGATCTGCTTCCCGCCTCTCTCTTGGATTTCAGTCGGGAAATCCTAAAGCCCTTTGCGCCGGCCACGCTGGTTAAGCGTAGTAGTAGTTCGCACCGTGCTTAGCCCGCCAGTTGCAATCAAAATACCGCAGCCCCGAAGATTGCACAAATTTTTTTAAGTCCCCAAAGTGTGAAAAAAATGTGATAAAGTGTGATAAGTTGTTATACAGCGCCATAAAAGTAATAAGGTAAGTTAAGGGCATATATTTTTTTTATTAATTTTTTTTGTTTGCTAGAAAAATGAGGAAAAAGTAAATGAGCAAAAGGTAAAATGTGAGAGTGAAATATTGCGACATAAAAGAACGGAGAACTGAAACACGTGTAAAGGAAAAAAAAGACACAAAGAGAAAGAAATGAATACCTACGAAAGAAAAAAACAAAGAAAAGATGTGAGAGTGTAAAAATAAAAAAATATCCCCCAACTGAAACAAGAAAAATTATATATATTATATACATATAAATATATATTATTATATATATAAATGATTATAAATGATATATAAATAATTATAAAAAAATATAAATGTGCTGAAGCGGAAGGAAAGAACATGACGTAAGGAATATCAAGAAAGAACGCTCTCTCTTTTTCTAGCGACCGCTGCAAAAGATCTTTCGCCGCCAGATCGTTGGTAAGTTTTTTTTACTTTACCTTTATTTCCCTGTTTCTTTTGTGTCTATGCCATGCGTAACTGACCTACGCCATGCGCTTTCCAATGCCAAAACTGGAATACACACATACATAATAGGCTCCCTTTGCCTTTAATCGCGTGTTCGTTACGTAAAATCTGATTTGTAAATAGAAAAAAATGAAAAAAAGAGACGACGAGCACACAAAAATTATAAAATAAACCCAACAAAAATAAGGAATTTAAATTAAATTATTTTTACAACCACATCCAACCCTCTAGTAGTAAACTTATTCCCTTCTCTTCTCTTTTATTTGTATTATTTGATACATATTTAATTATGTCTACACTAAACAAAAAAAAAAAAACGCAATTGCTTGTTTTATATAATCCAATTTTATTTCAGCAGTATTTCATTCCTCACAAGCCCATGCAAATAATTTTGAGTAAATAAAACCTAGTTGAATATTTAAGTAATTATCGGAATGAAACCAAATGAAATTCAAATATGAACCGAAAGTGAAATTAGCCGCAAAGAAATAATTATTATCCCTTATGCGAAAGCAAGTTGTTATTTATAATTAATAAAACCAATTTATAATGAAGTCTAACTAAAAGTCTCCTCATCCGGGGATTATGGAGGTCGGAGTGTCAGGGTAAGAAGGTGTAGCCACTCCCTGGGATCCTGAGGACGCATAAAAGGACATAAAGGATCATGGTAGGGTGGGCCTTTGCAATTATCTTGCGAGGAAAGGGGAGTGGCGTAGGCAGGTGTATCTCTTGTGTATTGTTGGTGGTGTTCTTTCGATCATTTTCTTTTACTTTCTCCTTTTCTTTGTTTTGATTTTTAAAACTAAGTACGCGAAATTTAATTTATCTTTGATAGCATTCGAGCAATGGTAACGTGGCGGCACACCTTTCTTTAAAAAACCCACCCCAAGCCGACCAGACTAAAAATGGAAGCCGAGGACATCGCGTACTCCGCTGAACGCGTTATATATCTCCACCAGCTCTTTTCCCCAAATCAAACGTTATATGCTACAAAGTTTCTGGCAAATCAAAAATGTCAACTTAAAAAAGGTGTTCGGTTTGTAAAAGAACGGCCCATATATAAGTTGTCAATATGTCATGCGTGCCAAAAATGGTTTACATTTGTAACAAGATAAATTTGTTAGCTGTGTAATGGGCATATGATAGTAAAGGCACTCGACTACAGCGTTGTCATGTTTTTTATTGCTTTATAAATGGTTGTAATCATCTTTTCAAAGACAAGGAGTTAACACCGGGTAAGTGGAGTCTAGCAATAAGCATGCTGGTACTTACCAAAACATTTTTCTGGTTTTCCTTGTCCAGCAGAAACTCCATGCTCTTGTGCGGCCTGCGAAAAGATGTGACTTCGACGCTACGACTACCTGTCGAGGACTTGATTGTCTGCCCATCCATTTTATCCATGTCATAGGTACTATACACATTCAGTTGCTTCACGATGTATCGCTTGTGCGGCAGACTATGTGGATGAAAACTTATGTCCATAAGGGAACGAGTCCTTCCCGAAATTACCGTCTCATGAGTGTCCAGATTGGTCTCGATCAGGCCCATCTTGCCTACGGCATCCACAGGAGGAACAGCCACAGTTACGGCGGTGACCACAGTGGGTCTGGACGTTTTTAAGCTTCCTCCAAGTTGTTTCTGGGTGATGTTTTCCCATGGCTCGATGTCCTGCACCCTCGTCATTTGTATGCCCGCTGTTAACTGGTCGGTAAACTGTTTTTGCTGTTCGCGTTCGGCGGTCATCAAGGCCCCTGTGCTATGGGCAACACTGTCGGTGCTGCCAACAGCTTCCGGAGGCGTATGCGCCAGAATGCCACTGCGGGGTGGCAGCTTGGGCAGCGGCGGCCTGCCGGTCACCTTTTTCGGGGTAGAGGTCCGGGCCAGCTGGCGGCTGTGCATGTTGGCAGTGCTCGCCACGGAATCGATCTGGCTTTCGTTTAGTTGGATTGCATCCATCAGTATTATCGGTGGCTTCAGATGATTGTGCACAAAGAGGTCCAATCCGCCTTTGTCCGTGCTTTGCCGTGAATCTTTTTTAGGCGACGCTTTGATCACTAAGGGCTGTTTGGGACCGGCCTTCATGTCCCGCTGCCCCTCTTTTTTGCGACGCAGCGAGGAGCGCAGTCCGGTGGTGAGCCTGGAGAATAAACCTCTGGCGCCGGAGTATTTGTCTTCTGCTCTGCCGACAGTAGTGAGTGCGCTGTCCAGCGGCATGTTGTGATTCTGCCGATTCTCCTGCTCGTAACGCTGCAGCAAGGGCTGGGAGGCGTACAAGATGTGATGGGCGCGGTTGGTCGGAGGCTTGCTTAGAATTGGCAGGCTGAGAAGTCCTGCATTCGCAGTAGATGTGGAAACGTTGGGGGGTTCTGAGTTAATCGATAGGTTCACGACGACGCCAAGTCTGACTGGGCTGCCTAAAACGATCTCGCGTTCCGGAGCGGTATAAGTTTCGGGCTTTTGATCAAGGCAATCGAGTGCTTGGATTTTTGTTTCACATTCGCTGCTAACGGTCTCTTTGAATGAAGAATTATTGTTCATTGCGTGTGCGGACGCGGATGAAAGGGGCTGAAAAACAAGAAAATGTGCTCTTTTATATCATTTCAACAAGAAAGAAAGTTGGCTTTGGCAAGCCGAAGATTATATTCCCTTGCAGATAAAACCATATCCTGCTATTAAAATCATACGTACGTATGTAGGTTCCCCGACAGCTCTAGAGTGGTAGAACTAAGGATTCTTACATTAAGTTGTTTAACGTCACCTAAAATTTCCAGGACCTTAAAATAGAGTTTGGATATGCACAAAAAAAGTTGAATGCTCAGGCAATGTTAGATGTTCTGAACTGGTAGATGTGGCAATTATTGTTGATTAATAACTTAAAATCGTAACTTTTTACAAAAACATATTGTATGTCAAAAGTTGAGGAATATCAAGGGCTATAGACTTAAACGATTAACCCAAAATCGTTGTGAGTTATCACAAAAAATGCTAAGCAATGTCTGAACCAAAAAAAACGTTTGCCCATAGTTTTTAAAGGTTGGTATTTAGACAAATCATGTTAGAAAATCGAACAAAGTGTTTCAAAGTACCTCTCTAATGCCATATAGAATTAATAAAAACTTTGGATACGAAAAAAAAGTTCAATTCTCAGGCAGTGTAAGATGTTCTGGTAAATGTGCCCATTCGAGTTGATTAATAACTTAAAAACGTGACTTTTTAAAACAACGTGATAAAACGGCTGCTATGTTTGACACCAAAAGGAATATTACCTAGGGAAATTTTGGTATGGAAAAAGGTAATGAATTTAAGAAACTCATCACCTTTCCAGCACTAAAGGCTGGATTTCATCAGCAAATACATCACCTTATCAGCGCCTTTTTGACACTGAAAAGAGCGTATTTTCAACGCCTTTTCATCGCAAATTTATTAGGTTTATTTTAGTACTTTACATACTCTATAAATTATTTTCTCACAGCCTACATTAAATTAAATGATTTTCTTAAACTACGGCGGATCGGTGGCTTCCTGGTTTAACGGATCAGCCACTTCCTTAATTTCGGGAGTCTTCATCAGCTCTCTTTCTGAAGAATGCACATTTCTCACTCATATCATTGCCTTTTGTAAGGTTATTTTAAAAGACTTGAAAGCTGCACCTAACCTTTGGCATCTAAAATAAGAATATAAATTTTCAATAATTGCAATTCCAACCCCTTGTGAACGGACGTGCTTTTAATAGCTCCAAAGAAAATCAAGTTTTTACCTTGCATTTTAGGCCGAAAAATCAAATCTCCGGTGTAAAAATGGAACAATTCCGTGTTCTCACTGTGAACACTGTAAATCTGCATCGCCACTGACCTTGCAAAATCTCAATCGATTTGAAACAATAAATAATCACAAACTTCGAACTGCACTTGTTTTGTTGCTTTACCGCCTACCGGTTTACCGCCTTCCTGCAGCTACCACCGCACCTCTACATAATCACTTGCCTGACACGTACGCAGTAACCATGTCTGTGAATGGGGCTCCACCCAGTCGTAAATGACAGCATTCCAGCATGCGTTCTTTCATTATGAAATGGCATCAAAAAGGTGTTCCGGAAGTGATGAGTCTGTCCATTCTTTTTACACGGGTGCGGGACAAAAAAGAATGCACCCGTTGCATGCTTCTGGAAGCATATATCTGGAATGCACCTGGAAGTAACAAACTAAACACATTCTGGGTGCACTCTTTTTTAATGCACCTGGAAGCAACATACTAAACACCTTCTGGGTGTACTATTTTTTAATGCACCAGGAAGTAACAACCTAAACACATTATGGGTGCACTCTTTTTTAATGCACCTGGAAGCAACATACTAAACTCCTTCTGGGTGTACTCTTTTTTAATGCACCTGTAACATGTACCCAGGAATGCACCTAGAAGCATTCAAAAACCAAATATCTGGAAGTTTTCCCCAGGAATACATAAAACTGGATTTCAATTTCATATTTCTTTTCATTTCAATATTCAAGAACGCAACTAATTTTTAATCGGAGTAACTCCCCTTCTGTACGGTGCTTTGGTGCTTCCTTCTTGTTTATGTACTTTTGTCATTTACGCAGTTCAGTCCTTGGTGTGCCCATTTATTTTTTGCGATTCTGAAAAATATAAAGCAAATTGAATATTATATATTTTGAAATATGAGTATATACATTACAAATATACAATATGTTTATTTTGTATGTACAATTTACATAAAAATAGTTATTATTTTATTTGTTTAATATATTTTAAGTTTGAATGTTCAGTGTACATGTACTGTGTTATTTTATTGTGTTCATATTGAACTAAATTATCTACACTTTACTTACCTGTGAAAATATTGATGTAAAATTGGTGGCAGAAAGCAACAAACTTTTTCAAAACACGTGGCACGAACTTCACTATTCAGAACTAAAAATGCAACTGACGAGAAATGCAAGAGGCAAGAAAAACCGCTCGCTTCCTTGCATGTTCCCTTTTGTCTTTATTATTCGTTTGTCAAGAGAACAGTTCCGAAAAAAGACGGTTGCAAAAAAATGGGCATCGGCAACCTTCGGGTTTGAGTTTGGTTTTTTTACATTCCCACTAAAATGCACCTGGATGCACTATATTGAAATACACCCAGATGGCACCCAAAAGACTGCCCTCAGCACGCACAGTTGCTAGTTAAATTTGCACGCGTGTTGCTTTGCGTAAAAAAGATACGACCCAGAACTATTTCTTTCGGAATACGTTCCCGAAACGGGTGTTTGGGCATGCTTCTGGATGCATTATTCTGAAACACTTCTAGAAGGCACCGCAATAGAATGCACCCAGCACGCACATTTGCCTTGAAAAATTTGCATGCGTGCTGTTTTGCGTAAAAAAGGTACGACCCAGAACTATGTTTTTTTAAAACACGTTCCGCAACTTACGACTGGGCATCTACCAAGCATCTGCGTAGCAACAAAAACAACTGCAACGGTATCACCAACGAGCGTGTGTCCGATGCGCCATCATCTCAGCTGCTAGAGATGGTCAACTTGCGTCTCCAAGAGCAAACCCTAAAACTAACTGGCCTGGTCAAAGTCGCGAAGCAGCGTATTCTCGGTGGCCTTATGACTCGTTTGGAGGGAATCGCAGCTGATCTAAAGCTGGTGGGAGAGCGGGTCGCGAGCGCGGATTCTAAGGTGGCCGTGATACGACCCTACATGGATAAGGTGAACGAGCGTGTCAACAATCTGAAGCATAAGGTCTGCGACCTGAACGCTTTGAAAAAGAGTGTGGGCGAGTTAGAAGCCAAACTTTCATCTCAGCAAATGGCACTCAGGCCTGCGAATGACGCAAAAACGGAAATCCATTTTTAGAAGGTGAAAATCTGAAGACACTGTACTACAAACTCTGCTTTTTGCTACAGCTCACTCCGCCGCCGAAATTTACCAAAGTTTTCCGGGCCAGAAAAACACAAAAAATCACGCTATTACGATACATCGGAGCTTAAAAAACATAAAATTTTGTCAAAATTATTAATTTATTAATTTATTAATTTATTAATTTATTAATTTATTAATTTATTAATTTATTAATTTATTAATTTATTAATTTATTAATTTATTAATTTATTAATTTATTAATTTATTAATTTATTAATTTATTAATTTATTAATTTATTAATTTATTAATTTATTAATTTATTAATTTATTAATTTATTAATTTATTAATTTATTAATTTATTAATTTATTAATTTATTAATTTATTAATTTATTAATTTATTAATTTATTAATTTATTAATTTATTAATTTATTAATTTATTAATTTATTAATTTATTAATTTATTAATTTATTAATTTATTAATTTATTAATTTATTAATTTATTAATTTATTAATTTATTAATTTATTAATTTATTAATTTATTAATTTATTAATTTATTAATTTATTAATTTATTAATTTATTAATTTATTAATTTATTAATTTATTAATTTATTAATTTATTAATTTATTAATTTATTAATTTATTAATTTATTAATTTATTAATTTATTAATTTATTAATTTATTAATTTATTAATTTATTAATTTATTAATTTATTAATTTATTAATTTATTAATTTTTTTATTAATTTATTAATTTATTAATTTATTAATTTATTAATTTATTAATTTATTAATTTATTAATTTATTAATTTATTAATTTATTAATTTATTAATTTATTAATTTATTAATTTATTAATTTATTAATTTTTATTAATTTATTAATTTATTAATTTATTAATTTATTAATTTATTAATTTATTAATTTATTAATTTATTAATTTATTAATTTATTAATTTATTAATTTATTAATTTATTAATTTATTAATATAAACCATTATTTTTATTACCCGTTACTCGTAGATTAAAGGGGTATACTAGATTCGTCGGAAAGTATGTAACAGGTAGAAGCGTATTATTATATTCTAGATCAGGACCATGACCGTCTGTCCGTTTAGCGCAAGTTTATTTCGGCAGAGTGCCACGCCCACTCTAACGCTAAAACCCGTCCAACACCCTCATTTTTTAATATTTTGTAAAAATATAATTAAGTTTATGTCAAAAATTATTGAAATCGGACCAGTAATTAATAAGTTGTAACCAAATAATTATCAATATTTTACAATTCATGCTATAAGCTCGTTGGCGTTTTGGAAAAAAGAGATAGGTGGCGCTATAGGCTAGGTGTGTTAGTGAAATAAAGAGAGTTCCTTTAAGCATATCTTTATCCTTCTCGGCCTCCCTTAAGCTGAGAAACGGGTATCTAATAGTCGAGGCCACCGATTACAGCGTTTTCTCTTGCTTTAACTAAAAAAACGAGATATTCATAAAAACATAATTAAAATAAAGAGCAAGGAAGAACGCTATAGTCGAGTGCCTGGACTACTGAGCTAAAGGGAACGAAAGGGAGATCGAGATTGCAAAGCGTTACCGACTTGGGATTTAAACACATGGTTGTGTTGGCGACAGTCAGATTTGAGCGAAATGGGTGTTTATGGGCGTAAGAGTGGACGTGGCAAACTTTTTTA